CGGCCCGTCGCGGCGCCCGGTGCTGAAGCCGGAGCGGTCGTGGGCCCGCTTGCGGCGCCGCTGGTAGCCCACTGACCCCCTGGGCCCCTTCCTGGGACATCCAGGGAGTCGTCGCAACTGTCATAAGTACGACCTGCGGGAGAGACCGCACGATTACCACTGCAGTAGAGAGAGAGAGAGAGAGAGAGAGAGAGAGAGAGAGAGAGAGAGAGAGAGAGAGAGAGAGAGAGAGAGAGAGAGAGAGAGAGAGAGAGAGAGAGAGAGAGAGAGAGAGAGGAGAGAGAGAAGAGAGAGAGAGAGAGAGAGAGAGAGAGAGAGAGAGAGAGAGAGAGAGAGAGAGAGAGAGAGAGAGAGAGAGAGAGAGAGAGAGAGAGAGAGAGACAGAGAGGAGAGAAAACGAGTATCGGGAAAAATCGAGAACATAAAAATGCTGAGAAAGGAAGACTGAGAATTATAATGCATATCACAAACACACACACACACACACGCACAAACGCGTGCGCGCGGGAATCATTATTTCAATACGAATTAACGCAAATTATGTATTCATACACGAACTAGAACGCACATAAACACGCACGCTCACAAACACACACAAATAAGTTTCTATTCATAAGTGTATAGTACGTGTGTTTGTATCTATCTGTGAGTACGAGTATTCATTCGAACGGCCATCCTCCTCCTCCTCCTCCTCCTCCTCGCCCCTCCTTTCTCTCAACGTTTGGAGAAAAGTTTGAGGGAGAAAAACTTATATCAAATATTCATAAGGCATCCCTCTGGGCACAGAGGCAGTTCTGAAAAGTTTCATCAAATACATCAATCTGAGTGTGTGTATGTATGTGCGTGTGTGTTTGTGTGTGTGTGTATGTGTGTGTGTGTGTGTGTGTGTGTGTGTGTGTGTGTGTGTGTGTGTGTGTGTATGTGTGTGTGTGTGTGTGTGTGTGTGTGTGTGTGTGTATGTGTGTGTGTATGTGTCTGTGTGTTTGTGTGTGTGTGTGTGTGTATGTGTGTGTGTGTGTGTGTGTGTGTGTGTGTGTGTGTGTGTGTGTGTGTGTGTGTGTGTGTGTGTGTGTGTGTGTGTGTGTGTGTGTTCGCCACACCCTCTTCCTCCCGCTCCCCCGGTCCCTCCCCCGCTGCTCCTCGACCCCCCCCCCCCACCCCAAGGATTGTTACATTAGACATCCATTCAGCCATGACTGTGCTCAGCGACAATTCTAGGAAGAAGCACACAAAAGAAATCAAATCGAGAAGCGCTTACAGCCAACGAGCAGAGGAGGAGGCGGCGGCAGGGAAGGGAAGGGAGGGGACCCGATGCGGAAATATATGCTTAAGAATCGAATCGGAATTGGGAATGCCTTGTTTCTTATTCACTACCAAAAGCGAGAAATACGTGCTTAACAATCGAATAAGAATGGAGAATTTCATTTTTTTCTTCACTACTAAAGGCGAAACATATATACTTAAGAATCGAATCGGAAGTGGCAATTTATTTATTTTTTTTCTATTTAATACTAAAAGTGAGAAATGTATACTTAAGAATCGAACAGGCATTGGGGAACGTCGTTTTCATTCCCTACCAACAGCGAGAAATGAAATTCGGAGCAAAAAAGTGAAAAGGAGTGTACCCTCGATATTAAGTGTTCCCGTTTTCTTTCGACGATGGAATGAAGAGGTTGCAATTTCTATTAAACACAGGAACACCTGAGAGTTCTCATGCTGGAAAGGCGTGTAGCAAAGGAGACATAGAGGAAAGAGGGAGAAGAAGAGGAAGAGGAAGAAGAGAGAGAGAAAAAAAAACACAAAAAAGCTGAATCTTGCACCTGTCAGCTTGAGCCGATCAGAGAGATAGAGCAGTCTCCCCTCCATCCAGCCTCGCCGACCGAGAACCGCCGGGAGCAGTTAACGAAATTATATTGGAAAATCCCGTAGATTTCGTTTTATTCTGCTTTCTCCATCGGTGGCAAGCTAGCAGGCCTCACCCATTCCCTTGTGTTTTACTAATGTTATGTTCATTCAATAAAACTGATTCACAAGTGCTATACAATGTTATCATTAATGCTTAACAGGTTCAGCCCCACTCTAAAGGAATTAACATATGTCTTTCTATGCTCTGGGTTGAATGGAAACAAATTGAATTGTGCAATACAAATGAAATATTTATACTAACAGATTACACTATTCTCTTTGGTATAGAGCGATTCTACCGCCTCCCAATGTGGTTTTAATTTGTAACATTATTTTCCATGTAAAGTACTCTGTCGTTGTAAAGATATATATGTATGTATACCACTACTACTGTTACTACAACCACTACTGCTGCTTCTGTTGCTGTTACAAAAATGACAACAATAACTACTACTAATACTGTTGCTTCTACTACTACTACAATTACTACTACTACTACTACTACTACTATTACTACTGCTACTGCTGCTGCTTCTGCTGCTGTTGCTACAAGAACAACAACAGCTACTACTACTGCTACTATTGCTACTACTACTACTACTGCTACCACTACTATTGTTGCTACTATTACAACTGCTACTACTACTTCTACTCCTACCAACACCACCACCACCACTACTACTACTACTACTACTACTACTACTACTACTACTACTATTACTACTGCTGCTGCTGCTGCTGCTGCTGCTACTACTACCGCTATAAACAGCAATTAATGCAATAATCAATTGATACTATGAAACTAACAGGAAAACAAAACGAGAAATAAAAAAGACAGAGAAAATCGATCAGGTGTACAGCCTTAACCAGAAAATACTAGAAAACGTTATCTTATATTGTATAACAACTAAAATGACGATGGCGATAATACAAAAGCTAAGAAGAAAGAGAGAGAAAGAAAGTGAAACGGTGTATTTAAATTTAACATTCTACTACGGAATTATTACTCTCCACCCAACCTCCTTTGGGGTAATCAACTACTCATTTTTGCAGATCGGAAGAAATTCTACTCTCATCCTCGTTCGCTCCCTCTTCTCTCTCTCTGTCTCTCTCTCTATCTCTCTCTGTCTCTCTCTGTCTCTCAATCTCTCTCTCTCGTTTCCTCCCCTCGCCCCCGCGCCTCCTCTCCCTCTCCCTAACTCCCTCCTCCCTCTTCCCTCATCTTCGCTTTTCCCTCTCTCTCACCCCTTACCCCCTCCCCTCTATTCCCTTGCCTCCTCTCTCTCCTCTCCCTCACCCCCCCCCTCTCGCCAGCCTCCCTATCCCCCCCCCTTTCTTTTACCATTCAAGCTGCTACAGTACTCTTTCACAGAATATTGAAAAGACCCGAGTTCATTCTTTCTCTTCCTCTCAAGTTTCTCTGCGCAACGCTTTTTTTCGGTGGCTTATACAACGTTCTAAAAATAGATAATTGTACACTAATTTCTGCAGTCATGGATAAAAGAACGGAAATAACATGGAATTTGGACTCTTTTATAAATCTATTATATTTTCATTTTCTTTTATAGACCAGTGTATGACGGAACTTTAATGATTCGGTTTTATAGACCATAAAACGTTCGATCTGTACTCGAGAGTTTGGCAAATTGGAAAAAAAAAAGTCAGAGTACTAGCATTCAATAACCAATCTGATGGGTCTAATATTCGTCCAATGAACTGTAGACTGAAACATCATCAGAATATGGAAGCAAATTCTCGAACGTATTAAGGGTAACAGATTTCAGACTAGTTAATTAACGAAATATTTCTGACGAGGGGTACGCATAAACGATTTTCACTGGGTACGCAATCTACTCTTATTATTCTAAAAAAAAAGGTCTTTTCATTTATATTCTCTTTTTTTCTTTTGTAAAATTCAGTGTTATCAATTTGCATTTTTTTTATATTTCTATAGAAGTGTAGCCCATTGGTTCCGAACCGGTAGGTCGCGATCACCCAAGTGGTTCGCTGAGAGGTAGCAGAAGGGGGGGGTGGGGTACCGAAGGCTTAGGGGAAAAATAGTGTAGGCCATTTTATTACGCGTTCATTTGTGTCCGAGTTAAGAATATACTATGGAGGCAAGAATATTGTATAATGTTTTGTGAATAAGGCTTGTCCAGATTGCTTAATATATTTATTTTCCTCTCTATCTCTTTTGCTAAAACGTGCAGTTGGAGTAATTATAAATAAAACGGCAATTTCGGGTCTTTGCGGATATATATAAAAAAAAAAAAAAATGGAAACCATTGGTCCAGATGAATAAACCAGTAAAATTTACAAGATGTATGCAGCTGATTATGTAAACGTGAAGAGGTACGTGACTAACTAAATCTTAGGTTATGGGGTAGGTGGTAATGAGTGTATCCTAGGAATTAGGGTGCAATTATCATATAATGCTATATATCATTTAATAATGGTATTTATTCATTTCAACACAGGCGAACAAGCGCTCTGCCAGTTCAACATTTCACACAGACACTCGTCTTTTGAATAATACAAATATCACACATTTTGTAACACACAAGGGCAATAAAACGCACACAAGCCAGACAACAGGAACACACAGATATACGTAATTGTATCTATACCTACAAGCCTCCACTACCTCCCCCTTTTCCTTTTATAATGACAATCGTCGCACTGGGACTGGTTGGCCCTTAGACAAGGATATTGGCTTCTCAGTGGAATGATACTTTAAAAGAACGACCTAGATATCAAGAAAACACACAGACACACACACACACACACACACACACACACACACACACACACACACACACACACACACACACACACACACACACACACACACTCACATACACTAACACACACACACATACACACACACACACACACACACACACACACACACACACACACACACACACACACACACACACACACACATACACACACACACACACACTCACATACACAAACACGAATACACATACACACACACAAACACACACATGCACAAACATACACACGCACTTTTCCTGTTACATGAGGTTTTCCCTGGAGTTGATGCCGTTGAAATACGCAAAAAATCACACCTCGCACAATCAAGACACAGGAACACAGGATCCAGACACAAACAAACAAATAAACACGTAAGACCCACAGACAAACAAATAAGCACACAGACTCGCACTCACACATACAAACAAACTCGAAAGATTCACAAACAAACAAATAACCACCTGAAACCTACCCTTCTCCCTTCCCCTTTCCCTCACCCCTTCCCCTCCCCCTTCCCCCTCTCCCCCGCAGCTTACCCTCCCCCTCTCCCTCCCCCTTCCCCCTCTCCCCCACAGTTTACCCTTCCCCTTTCCCTCTCCCCTCTCTCCCTCCCCCCTTCCCTCCCTCTCCCCCTCACCTCTCTCCCCCTCCCCCACACTCACCCGTGCGTCGGGGACTGGTTTCCGCTGAGACACGAGCACAGGTTCCTCGTCCTCCCGTGCGAATCCCGCGGGAGGTCGGTGACGGTCGTAAGAAACACGGAAGACAATCCTGAGCCGCGCCGGACGCCAGCCGAGCGATGGAGGAGGTAGTTGTCCACGTACTTCCGCACCGCCGCTCTGACCTGAAGGGCGTGAGACAAGGGAAAGGGGAAAGCTCCGTTAGTTAATTTGGGATTTTGGGCTCTGATGGGTTTGCTGTGCGTGTTCTTTGTTACATAATAATAATGTTGATAATGATAATAGTAATAATTTATTATTATTGTAATATAATAATAAGAGTAATGATGATAATAATGATAATGATAACGATAATTATTATAATAAGATAATAATAGTAATAATGATAATAATAATAACAGAAGTAATACTAATGCTACTACTACTACTAATAGTAATAATAATCATGATGGTGATAACAGAATAATGATGATAATAATGAAAGTAAAAATAATAGTAATAATGATAATAATAATAATAACAATAGCAATAACAATAACAATAACAATAACAATAACAATAACAATAACAATAACAATAACAACAGCAAAAACAAAACAACAACAACAACAATAATAATAATAACAATAACAACAACACTAAAAGTAACAACAATAACAATAACAACAAAACAACAATAATAACAAACAAAATAGAAGCAACAACGATAATCCCAGGGTACATAGCAGGTAGCCGGCCACGTGTCCTGCCCGGCCACGCGTGAGACAGGCAAAAGGAGAACTTGGTCGGATAATGTACGGATTTTCAGTAATATTGTTATTCTAAGCATAATCCATATTATGATAATGGTTATAAGAGTAATGCTGTTATGGTGATGGTGATGATGATGATGATGAAAATGATGGTTATATGATAATGATAGTAATAGTGATAATATCGATGATATTAATGACAGCAATAGTGAAAAAAAACGATAATAATGATAATGATGATAATGATGATAATAATGATAATAATAATAATGATAATAATAACGACAATAATTATAATGATAATAATGATAACGATTATAATAATAACAGTAATAATGAGAGTAATGATAATTAAGTTAATAATTATAATAATAATGATATTGATAATGAATAATGACATATTTTCTATAGTGTAAATAATAACAATAAGCATGATTATAAAGAGAACTACAAAAATAATAAAATCAATACTAATGACAATAAAAAATCATGATAGTGGTGCGACGACAATGATGATGATGATGGTGATGATGATAATGATGATGATGGTGACGATGATGATGATGGTGATGATGATGATGATAATGATGGTGATGGTGATGATGATGATAATGAGGATGATGATGGTGATGTGATGATGATGGTGAAGATGATAATAATGATGGTGATGATGATGGTGATGATAATGGTGATAATGATAATGATGGTGATGATAATGATAATGACGATGGGGATGATGATGGTAATGATGATGATAATGATGATGATAATGATGGTGATGGGGATGATGATGAAGATGATGATGATGATGATGGTGATGAAAGATGATAAAGTGATAATAATAATAATAATAATAACAACAACAACAACAACAACAACAACAACAACAACAACAACAACAACAACAACAACAACAACAACAATAATAATAATATTATTATTATTATTATTATTAATAATGATATAATGATAATAATAATAATAACAACAATAATGATGATGATGTTATAAAAAGATAAGGATGAGATTGGGTATTTTCACAGTACAAGAGCTTTATTTGATTGGCTTCGATTATATCTTCAAAAACACATGTATTTCTGACGAAGATGTAATCAAAACTGGTCAACTACAGCTGTTCTACTGTTCAATATCATGCATACCTTTCCTACGTGTGATATTAATGATGATCATGTGGATAATGTGAATGATGAGTATGATAATTATGATAACAATATTATAATTAATTTTTGATAATAATGAGAAGATATTAAGGATAAAAATGACAGCAGTAACGAAAGCAACAATGATACGGATGAGAAAGAGAATAACAATAACAGTGGCAATTATAATAGTGATAATAATGACGATGAAAACAGTAATCA